CACACGCGTGTGTGTGCGTCTGCTTTTTTACATGTGAAAGAGATTCCAAGATTGGGTCTGTTTTTGTGTGTGCATGAAAACATCTTTTTTTTTTTTTTTTTGCCAGTCTGTCCATGAAAGAAACAGAAAGAAAGAAAGAGGAGCTAAATACACAGCGGAGGTGAGCTCGACACGAGGAGGAGAAAATAGAGATACGGCACTCGACAAGGACGAGAGAGAACAAATATACAAAGCAAGGGAGCCGAAATGGCAAGAGAGAGAGAGGGAGAGCATAAAGGAGGGAAGATGATTAATAGAAATGACTAAAAGGGGAAAGAAGCAAAAAAAAAAAAAAAGAGAGTGGAGAGTAAAGGACGGAGACAGAAAGTGATGCAGCAGATAGAGAAGAACAAAAGGAAAGGAGGCGGAAGAAATGTGAAGGGACGGATAATTGGCAAGAAAGTCAGAAAAAGGTGTTGACAGGAGAGAAGAGTGAGAATGCACAGGAGGAAGGAGGTGACGGGACGAAAAGGTGGCGAGACATGGCGAGGAATAACTGGCGTTCCCTCGTGGGAGGTTCGGCCACACGGCCGGCTAAAGGCCACGGTCAGGGACGGGTGCTGAACTCATCCAGAGCTTCTCATGGACGCTTTGAGAGACAAAAACAAAATGAATGAGGAACAGAATTAAAACTGCTCCGTTTTTATCATCCTTACTGTTATAGTGCATCTCAAAAAATTAGAATACGGCGCAGAACGTTTCACGTTTCCATCAATTATTTAAGAATAACTGATAAAGTAAAATGTTCGAAGCCCTTTTCTTTATATTTAGTTTGAAGTAATTCTGTTTACATTGCATATTGTATTTACAACATTAGAGAACGTCCTGGTTGCTTTTGCTTTTCCAAAATCCTTAGTTTTTTAAATCACTCTTCTGTTATTGCATAAAAACAGCAGAAACAGGAAGCCTGCTCTTTTACATGATGCAGGAAAAATCAGAGGAATTAAAAGAAAAATACATGAAGGGAGCAGTTTGTCTAACTTCAGGTAGGTTCACGTGAAATTAGATTTTATGGGTTTTACAAACTGAGTCCATTTGGTTCAGATCTGATGAAACTTTTCTATTTAATAAATGTCAACTTTCCAGCCAAGACTTATTCTGTCTTAATTTTAATAATTAGGGTCTACATCTCAAAAAAACAATTAACAACATATCCCAAAACATCAGAAAATCCATGTCACGTTTGAGTAAATTATTCAAACGGGACACAGTCTGTGTTCCTCTCGGTCCAGTTCGGTCCACAGAACCTTCAGCCTCCTGCTGAATGCTTTACTGACTGGTGTTGCTGCACCTGATTGGTCCGTCAGCTCAAAGCAAACAAACAGAACCCTTATCAGTACTTTTTATCAGATATAAGTTATTGGAACAGAATTCAGACCGCTGCATCGTTTTTAACCATCACGACCATAAATATATATAATACAGACGTTATTAAACATCTCTATGATCACTACTGTATACTGTGATGTGATAACTGACATATGACGTAAATATTTACATGAACAGAAACCACAATCTCTATAAACATTAACGACATGGTAATCAGAGCGCTATAGATGCAGCATCACAACATCCAACAGTATGCTTTATATAGGAATTAAAAGTACAGCGTGTTGATAAAAACCTTTCTAGCTTCACTTTAGAGCAACAGATGGGAGACAGGAGCTTTGCTCTGACCGTGTTTTAACTGAGATGTTCGTAGGTTTAGTTAATAAAACAGATAAAATCCTTCTTCTACCAACATCAATGTTCAGTTAGAGACAGAAACGAATTCAGTTTGTGTGAAAATGTGCTGCGTAACTTTCTTCTAAATGTCTAAAATAAGGACAACAGAAGCAGGAATGGTTGTAAAAACATGAACATGTAGTTTAATGCTGGGGTTTGATGTCCATCCCTGGTTTTCATTCAACAAAACCAACAATTATTAGAGTTTCTTCTGCCAGACAGACAAACTTTTTATCCATCACAGCCTTCTTTTTAGGACATTTTATGATAATTATGTCTGCCAGAGTTTTTCTACCAACTCTGACGCCTTAACTGAAGCACATCCACCAGCTCATGGTGGGATCCCCCCAGATAACTGTCTGATCACTTCAGCATCACAATCAGTGTTAGAGGAAGAATCCCTCGGTTCTGTGTGTGATACGGATCATAGGTGCTGGTTCTTGTGTTGGTCTGGTTCTAAACTAAAGCTCAGATGCCATGAATTCCTCCCTCTCTCTCTCCCAGACTAAAGTTTAATGTATACTTGCAGGGAAACACTGACGTTAACACTGAAGCAGCAAAATCTGTGGCAGCCTGAGGGAGATCCAGCACATGAGCTGCTGCTCAGTCTGATTGCCTGTAGTTTGCATGTAATGTTGCATATATTGTGGTGTTGCGTTCTTTCTTTTGTGGAGCAGAAACCTCAACACAACGGCAGCGCTGCACTTAATTACGGCCGTGACAATAAAAGCGAATTCGAATGTAGATGGATGGGTGCACACATGGGCAGAGACGGAGATGGCAAGTGAGTAAAATGAGACAAGAAATAGAAAAATAGAGTGAAACGGAGAGCGAGAGAACGTCTGACAGCCAGAAAGAGAAGGAAGGGAATAACTAGAGAGAGGCGAGGGCAGAAGGAGAAAGACGGAGTGACAGCCTCTGAGAGATAGAGATTGGAGTGAGAGGGAGGGACTGGATGAGGCGGCGAGTAAATGGAGAGAGGAGAGCGATGGAGTGAAAATGAGCAGGAGAGAGAGAGAGAGAGCGCCATGTCTCACTCTCATCAGTCAGAGCGCTGCTCATCCAGCAGCACAGGAAGCCTTTGTCACCGTGACGGATCCTCGCTGTCTGCTGCCGCCGCCGCCGCCAACACCATCACAAAACAGCACTGATGTACACACAGAAAGACGCACACAGGGAGGACGGACACACGGCCAGAGGTGGTCGCACTTAGTACACACACACACACACACACACACACAGGTGTGTTTGTTGTGTGTCAGGTGTACAGAGGAACACACACCTCCAGACACGCTCGGCGGCGGCGTGTCGTGTTGTTGACCTCCTTACAGCTCACATTAACAGCTGATGTGGATCCAGGACCAGGATCAGCTAACCGTTATTTCCGTACTCGTCAGGCTGCTGATTATTTTATAAATGAATCATTTATCTCTCTCTGATGCAACATCCATGCATTCATACCTGCACTGTGGATGTTTTATACATGTGGACTCTGTGTAATGTTCATACGTGTAGAAGAGTCTGTGCAACATCAGACAATCTGTTTAATGTCTAGTTTCCTGAACATCTGAACTATTTCAACCATACGCTGGTTGTTTTGTTCTATTTGTGTTGCTGCTGTAACGCTGCAGACTCCCGGCTGTGGGATGAATGAAGGATCGTCTTGTCCGAATCATTTGCTCTGTTCAATGTAGTAAAACAATCAGAATCTTGAAAAAGCCTCTTGCAAACTTAACCTAGCCCAAAGCTAATCGTAGCTTGATTTAACCAAACTTAGCCTAACTTGAACTTTAACTATTTTTTATTTTTAATAATAATTTGTCGTTTCTCTCTCTGGTGCAACATCAGTGCATTCAAACCTGCACATTGTTCATATTTTGTACATGTAGACTGTCCAATATCAGGACTTTCTGAATGTAGAACAATCTGTGTGATCTCAGTGTTTTCTACTCGTCCAGTATCTTTTTTTTCCCACATTTAGATGAACCTGTGCCATGTCTAGTTTCCTGCACATCTGTACTACATCAACAATACATGACTTTAGACTTTGCAGTACTTTATTTTCACTGATGTGTGTTTGTTCTGTTTTGTGCGGCTGCAGATTTCCTGCTTTGGGATTAATGAGGAACTGTCGTATCTCAGTTATTTGGTTTATAAAATGTGGTAAAACGATGCCAATCGGTTGTTAATCAGCTGTCAGATCGCTCTCTGCTGCAGCATTCAAACCTGTGCATTGTGTGTATTTTATAAGTTTACACTCTGTACATCAGTAAGAACCTGTGCAAATCATTGTTTTCTACTCATGGAAGAATCTGTAATAAATAATAACTCTGTGCAGTGTTTCCCACATTCAGAACAATCTATGCAACACCTGGTTTTCTGCAGGTTTGCATCTGTACAGTATCAACACTAAGTTCTATTTTTGTTCCACTGGTGTTTCTCATGTTTCTGGACTGTTGGTGTTGCTGCTGTAGCGCTGCCAGACCCCCCGCTGAGCGATTAATGAAGGACTGACTTATCTTAACTTATTCAGGTTGTTTGAATATATTAGCAGGATCTCAGATGTGGATTTATTTTTTTGAGTCTTTCACAGTAAAATCTGATGGTCAGATTAAACAAGTGTCTTCTTTCTTTCTTTCTTTTGAATGTGACGACTTCATGTCGACTGCATTCCAGCTGGACTCTGCTGTGGTCACAGACATGAACCTTCAGATGAGGTTGAGCTGAACGTGATGACTTTCCACTCACACGGCGCTTTAGCTGCATTTCTACTGATAACATCCAGACAGAGGTTTCATTAACAATAAGAGACACACGGAGCATCTTAGTACGTCTCATTATTCTGATCCCATGCACAGAGACACAAACACGACCAGAACAACACACAGGAAACACACAAGTCCTGCTCATTTGGCTGCTCTGCATAGACACACACACACACACACACACACACACACACACACACACACACACACCCGCTGAGACAGTGATCGCACATAACTCACACGGAGACGTAAATACCTCATTACCTATACACAGACTCTTCCTCGCCTCGTCTTCCTCCATCTCTCACTCTTTTTATTTCTTTCATTAAACCGCGGTGACAAACGGCAGCATATGCTGAGCAGCAGATGTTCGACGGGAGATGTTGTGTAAGAGCTTGTGTTCATGTGTGTGCTGTGAATAAGGATGCTAACGAAGCTCTCCGTCGTTTGTGTTTGTTCTCCGCAGTACTACGAGATGTCCTATGGCCTCAACATCGAGATGCACAAGCAGGTAAGAGGGACTCGGTCCGGTGTGTTTGGGGTTTGTGGGGTTGCTGCTGGTTGACGTGGAGGCGTCGTGTGTCGGTTATGAAGCAGGAGAAGGCCACAGCGTGCTGTTACAGCCATTACATGCCAGTGACTCATCTGGTGTGGGAGGGCTCGGTATTGTGTTTCCTTGCTGCTGTGCTCGTCGAGGTTTTGTGCTTCCATTAAGGGATCTGCATGAATGTAAATAAATCAGCCGGACACATTAATAAGTGGACGGTGTAGCGCTGTCCTGAACACCACCACCTCCACACTGTCCTCACAGTGTGCTGTAGAGCCCAGTCAACACACAAATAACCACAAAACTTTTTCATTTAAACATCCTTTCAGGCTAATTAATCTGAGCGTGTGGACTTGGTGTCTGCTCACTTGGACCCGGTACCGCTCTGACCAGCCTGAGCGCCACCCGGTTACACCAGCAGAGCAGCTAGACCTCCAGCTGGGTGAAGGGATGAAGGGATGAAGGGAAACCTGTTTGTTTCACATTTCAACACTGATATTAGTCCAAAAACACCTCAGTGAGTCTTTGCACTGAATTCATTAAACACCTGCAGCTGAATCCACACGAGGCTCTCCAGGCAGAGAGCTGCACGCCTTTCTGCACAACTTAGATTAATTCATTAGTTGGAATATGACTCATCCCCGACGTGGAGACCGGACCCGATCAGAACCAAACACAAGGTCACACTGGGTAGTTTTCTTTACGTGTTAGAGTCCAGTTCACTCTGTGTTTAGGAGTCTTTCCTCTGAGTTTATTAGAGATCTGCAGCGTCAGACAGCAGCAGGAGGCATCTGAGCGTCTCCACGGCGACCAGGCGTTCACACATGGAGCCGTAATATCGATTATTTATCCTGATCAGTCCTGTCTCCATGTCTGGGTTTGGTTCTGTTTGGACACTTCAACATGCTGCTGTTAGCTCAGTTCAGTCTTTTGTTAGTTGCTGCATTATTATGGGTCATGTATGAATATACATGATGTGGATGTCCAGTGTCGTGTGCATGCTGTGGCTCTGTGCAGCACTGAGGAGGGATGTCCTCATGAAGCCGTGAGAAACATAAACATAAAACCTGTGGCATCACTAACGGACTGATAATGCAGCAGTGTTACACATCCCACGTCTGAGAAGGGCTTCAGCAGGGTTGTGTTTAATCCAGGTTCATGGAAACCAAGCAGGGAAAAGAGACCTCGTTTTGTTCCTTTCATTTAGTTGGTAGATGAATGTTCAGTCAGCGAACGCAACAAGTGGTTTCAGAGACAGACAGCTGAAGGTTTAGTCTGACTCTCTGCCCTGTGCTGCAGTTTACCTCCATCTGCTCCATGTGCAGGTACAGTAGCATGAAGCAAGAAGCCTGTTCTGCACCAAATGTGTATTTATGATGCGTTTATTAACAGCAGCGTCTGCAGCAGCTGAGAGTAAAAACCAGTGACTGATGTGAGAGTTACTGTGTGAGCATCAGCTACAGCAGCAGCACATGGATGTTCTCTGCATCAGACACATGTCTGGACGCCTCTGAGCTGCTACGTCCAGCGTGTGGTTGTGAGCGTCGCTGAGTGAAGTCCTCCTCCGGTTTCCTCCTCCTGCAGCGACATGCAGACTAAACCCCAGTTAGAGCGCTGAAGGAAGGTCAGCCAGAATCGTGTAACGTTTCCACTTGTCCTCGCTGAGATCCGGTGTTCTCCAGCGACGACGGGTGTCTGATGAGCGGCCCTCTCCGAGCCCGCCGCCGCCGCCGCCGCTCGTCAGTCCCCACGCTCGCTGCTAATTTAGCGCCTGGGTCACGCTGCAGGACAGGAAGACGGTCAGACTGCAGGCGGAGCGTCAGATAAAATGCCAGACAGACAGAAAGCGGTTCCTCGGTGCTGACAGACCTCCATGCAGATAGCTGGACTCATTATCCAGCTGAATGGCATTTCCTTTAAGGTGACTCCTGCGCCTCCCTCTGCACCGATCCGTCTGCCAGGAGAACCTGGAGGAGGACTCAGACTGTCATGGAGGACACAACAACGGGGGCATTATTGAGCTGCTTCTTGCCCGTGCAGAAGGCAGCTCATTGTTTGAAATGAAAGCCTCTGACTTCTGCCCTTTAACCTCCTGATCGTGGCCTCATTCAGCCGTGGAGGTAAATGACGGCACAGAAACATCAAACAGCTGCTGACTGGCTTCAGACGCCACGACTGGCTGAAGCTGCAAAATGTTTTAAACCAGCGAAGAGAAAAGAGCTTCAGAGCATCAGGGTAGATTTTATTGTTCTTTTTATTAAGTTCCAGAAGAAGCGTGAAGCTTATTTAATGTAATTTTTAAAGGTTTGGTTTGTTAAATTACAGATAATATCCAGAAAATCACAGAAAAATGCATTAAATTAAATTTTAACTGTGAAAGAAAAACTGTAAGAAATGTTAATAAAGGAAATCTGTGTTTTTAAATAGTAAATTGTTATTTTACAACTTTTGACCACAAAATAGCAAAACTTCTCGCCGTATTTAAATCAGCAAAGGTTTATTATTTTTGCAAATGTTTGTGTTTTAAAAGAACAAACATGTAAAATAAGGATTTAAAAAAACAAGCTGCTATTTTACAGATTTTCTCTGTTTTGTTAAACTGCAAATAATAAAAAATCACAAAAAAAAAAAGAATTAAAATGTTAAATTGTAAAAAGAAATAATGTTCACATTAAAATCTGCATTTTATGAACGGTAAATTATTTATACACAACATAGAATTAAACAGTTTTTTTTTTTACTGTATTTAAATCAGAAAAAAATATATTTTGCTGATATTTGTTTAAAGGAAACATTTTGTATGTTAACAATTAAAATTTACAGATTATATTGAGTAAAATAAGAGAAAAAAGTATTAATTTACATGTTGACTAAAACAAATAGGCCAAAACTTTTCCGTGTATATCTGAATATAAAAGTTCTCCATCCTGCTGTATTTAAATCAGTTAAAACTATAATTATTTTACACATATTTGCTGTTATTGTTTTGTTTTGGAAAGACACTATTCCTCCATTTTTATCCTATTTTTTTCCAATTTAATTTTTTATTTTTGTTTGGTTTTTATTTATTTTTACGGTGTGTGACGTGTGCATCTTTTCCCTTTGTTGTCATAATTCTGGCGGTTAAAAGTGAAGCAGCCTCGTGTGCGTTATTTCTGAATCGACCTTCAGCTGCAGACTCATGAACCGATGAAGGCAGGAAGCGCTCAGAGGAACCTGCTGCTGGAAATGTTGCCTCGGCAAAACAAAAAAACAGGAACATGTGTGTAATAAAGGGTGCTGATGGATGGGATGGACTGATTCCTAAACCCTACAGCAGACACAACTATCGACAGATCAGTTATCAGAAAGAGAGACAAGAGCTGGTGGAGCTTCTAGAAGTTGAGTTTTATAAGCTGCCAGTCGTTTCACGCTGAAGGAACCTGAACACGGTGATCATCTATCAGATCCATCATCACATGATGCAGTGACGCTCTGTAGCTGCTGGTGTTTACTGGTTATAATGCCGTGTCATTCTGTGGGTCCTCAACGGGTAGATTCAGCATTTAAATGATCTAAATGTGATTGTTTTCCTTTGCTTTCCCTGTCATTTAATTCCATCCATTTTAAATGTAGTTATGCTAAAAACCGCTGAGCAAAAAAACGCAGCGAAAGTTGTGCTTTAATCACAAGAAGAGAAACTATTACTCAGCAGGAAGGGAACAGAGATAAAGAGAGACGGAGAGGGAGGGAGATGGCTGCCAGTGAAGCCAGCAGAACCGGACCGTCAGCTCCCAGCGCCAGCAAGAAGAAATGGCCTGGCTGCACCTCAGAGGGATGGAGGGAGGAGGAGGGAGGAGGAGGAGGAGGAGGAAGAGGAGGAGGAGGCGGAGGAAGGCTAACGGGAGCAGAGCGGAAACACAGGAGGAGTGGATGAAGAGCGAAGGGAAAAAAGTCCCGTTTGTTCTTTTCACATTCAGTTAAGAATCAGAAAATAAAAAATAGATTCATAATTTAACACAATTTTAAAAAACAACAGCTTGTTTTTTTTTCACTTTTAATTTAATGCTCAAATCAAAAGTAGGAAATGGAAAAACCGACTGACTTTGATTTTAATCCGTCCGACTATGAAGCTGCTACGTATGCTAATGCTACGGCGGCGGCGCTGCCTAGCCTAATCAATACGACCTCCAACATCCATATAAGTGTGTTTTTTTATTTCAACAAAGTGTTTTGGGAAACGGCACGTTAAAAGGTTTTACAAGAAAAAAGGAAAGGCTGTGTTGCCATGGATACAGCAGGTTGTTGATGTTCTGGACAAATGAAGTTAAACTAAATGAGTTATTAGCAGCGTCTCTGTGCTGCTACATGTACTGATCACTGGACGCTCTGGGTTACGCTGTGTTTGCTGCAGTTTGTCTCATTTGTCATCCCGTGTTTTTGGATTTTGGTTGTAATTGAAAACTCGTTATTACAACATCCTGATGCAAACTTTTGTTCCTGCTATTGTGAGATTTCTCCTAGTTTTCTTGTCGACAGGCGGTTGTGACCATCAGAACCTGCATCAGAATCCTCCAGTTCTGAGGTGAACAAACTAATCCAGCAGTGCAGAGCTAAGACACAGATGTTCATAGTTAATGAGACAAACTTTAAATCCTCCTGATTTTGCAAAACAGAAAATTAAAAATCTAATTCAGTCAAACTTCCTGTTCTGACTTGAGGATAAACTCACGAGTGCCAAAACGAAGCCGTTCGTGTGATTAGATTCATAAACGTACAACCCAATGAGAGCTGGTTTTTGTTGTTGGATGTGAGACGAGCAGCTGGTGCTCGGATCATGACAGTGAAGCAAATGAGAGTAAAAAAGAGAGAAAGGTACGAAAACTTCTACAAGGAGAAGGTGTCAGGAACCAGCGAACAAGGCTGCAGAAAGAAAGAGCCAGCGGGGAGAATATATGAGAGCAGAGGAGGAAAAATATATGTTT